TTGACGTCACAGGAGACGCAGTACTACACTGTTATCGAGAGTGCGTTGTTTCGTGTAACAAAGCCTTTACATTACGTAACACAATCTCTGCACTCTCCGATTACCTACTAACCACACCTTTTTTATACACAGTAACTTTTATCTAATACCTGCTTATTTTGCAATATAAGTTACTTGATAAGTTCAACTGGCGGTTTCATTCTACAAGTAATGTACTTAAAGCATTTTGGAAAGCTAGCTTACTTAATCAGTATTTACGTCATTGAATCACTACAGTAAAGCCGAGTGCAAGACTACTTAATTAAGTTATTAAATAATTACGAATCTGTTCAATGACCCGAATTCTACAGTATACTTCACGCTTATCCATGTAACTACACAAGCCTTCTAGAACGCTTTAAACTGCAAGTGATCTATTCAAAACATATCCCACAATGCCTCAAATGAACAATACGTTTCTTGAGACTTACACACGTGCCTTTAAATAGTGATAGCTTGTTGGCCAAACACGTAACGTGAAACTGTAGAAAACTATTAAAAAGATATTAACATTAAATCAGTATGGTATACCTTAATAGTCTTACCTCAAAGCTACCCTTACGCAACATTTTTTGAACACTCGACCACAACGACGAGACACTGCTGACTTCTGAGAAACAACGTGTCTGCAGTTTTTATATATGTTGTCGAATAGGTACAAGGATGACTTGTTGGCATGTCGCTTCCCCCGGACACAACATGTTTTACGCCAGGTTCGTTTAGGATGTAGCTTTCCTATTTACACAAACAAACAAAATAAAGAACTAAAATTTTTTAGTTGAAAAACCAATGAACAATTAAGGAAGTAATGACATCAATTACAAGTATCAAATAAAAACTTTTTTTTTAGAAATGATTAATTACAGCATATTTTAAACTTTAAAGTTCAGAGTCGCAATGTCTTATAGCGTAAAATGTTTAATGTAATTTTATATAAAGTTTTAAATGTAAATATAGAGATAGATATTTGTGATTGTATGTGCGTAAACTTTTCAGTGCAAAATTAATAAATAACAATCTACATAAATGTCCCACTTGTATTTAAGTGCAACCTACATCTAGTTGAAATAAGAACTGTATTGCAACCTAACAAAAGTCATATTTCCACACTCACCTTTTCAGAAAAAAAAAAATATTATGAGAAGTTTATAGAACTTACTCTGTTTTCTTCCTTCTGTTTTATATTTCCGTGAATGACGTTTCGGTTTCTTACGTTTAACCCCCTTCTTGCCCTTTTCTCCAAAGACTCTGTTTTTCAAATTTAATTTACACTCATCTATTTCGTGTTCAATAGCAGAATTATTCAATGTTAATCCTTTATTAATGGAATGCAACTCTATGTGACGCAGAGGGTAGTCCTCTTTAAGTTCTAGAAATGATCCATCTTCTTTCTCTTCGGGCACAAACATCGTGTTGTCTACAACTAAAGGTATACTCCACTCTGGTTGACCGGGGTTTGGTTCATACATTCTCGGGTCCTTCACTGGTTCCTCTAGAATATGTGGAAACAAAACGTAGTTTTCAGGATCTTCTTCCATATCTTCGTATTCATCAGAAATAACAGCTTCCTTCCATTCATCAAAGCTGGAGATGACCTTCACAGTTTTCATTGTCATTCCCAAGTCTGTTGTAGAAGTTCTAACCTGAAAGGATACAAAATGAATAGCATACATTTATTAGATATACTACTATGTTTTTATTTATACAGCTCGTTTTCTCGAGCTTGTACAGTTAAGCTGAATTCGCATGATATTATAAAATTAGCAAAATTATCTCCCCATGTTTGTTTTTTCAATTTCGCGCAAAGCT